CACTTCTTGGTTTTCAGTTGTACATGACGGTCATAGTGGCTGCAGAAGAGATGTGCCGTAGCTCACGTTGTTGAGACAATTTTCCTGAAGCCTTTTTTACAAGTTAGATTGTTATGCATACTGCAGATGACAAAACTGAGGACTAAGGGGAGGTACCTAAAGCTCAGTTGACAGGCATGGGTCTCTGGCTCCCAGCCCTGTATTTTCAGAGGAAAACCCAGACATCATCCACTAGAGACTCCTCAAGCCCTTCTCTCAAGGAAGAAGAAAGAACCCTCCTGACATTTATAAGTTACAAAGTTAACAGACTTCCAGCTGTGAGCCTTTGTTCTCCTGCATTCCTACCAGAATTGCCCTGTAGGAGTGGGGGGGGGGGGTGCCCTTTGGAATAGACTCCCTAGTTCAGTTCCAGTTTTGCACCGTCCATGAGCTGTGCAGTCGCAGGGAAGTGACTTAAACTGTCTGTGTCTCCGATTCCCCAGCTGTGAAATGGGAGTACCAGCACCACAGACGTCATAGCATGAGATGATTTAACACGTGAGCGTGCTTACACGCAGTACCTGTCGTGTAGCTTTGTTGTTTTGTGTAGGTAGGTTACCGTGTTCCTCAATCAAGGAAGGAGCCGGCCCACAACCCACGGGACGCATGATTCCTTGGGACGAAAAGAGAAGGAAAGAGAGAGAAAGGAATGGTTTAGGTGCTGGTAGTCAGTGAGAGAAGAGTTGACAGCATTGAGGCTTCAGGCTTCAGGCGGCAGGTTCCCGAGATGATGCCTGTCAAGGTCACAGTGCAGAGTCCGCACAGAGCAGGCTGAGGTTCCAGGAAGTGGCACCTGTTACTCTAGCCCTGAATGACTCCATGACTAATACATGTTACGCTACTTAGAGCACGACTCGATAACCGATAGCTGTTGTTATTTAGATAGAACCCGAGTCTTTACTGTCCCCATAAGCCAACTCCCATCCAATATTCCAGACGACAAATGGTCATTAGCCGAGTGTGTAAAACCATCTGCTGCCAGAAAGCCACTATAATTGATGACCAGGCCACTCTCCAGTCCCTAAAAGGGGAAGCCGTTTTGAAATGAGTTGATGCCGACAAGGCTTTTTGGAGGTTGCTGTCTCCTTTCCATGTTAACTAAATGGTGCTTCTGGCTTAAAAAGAAGAATCTGGAATGTAAGAAACGAGCGATGGAATCGTCAGGGATTTGGTGATAGTGTGTCACCTGAAGATCACTTGCATCACAAGGCCCAGCTATTAATGATAAAAATGCGTTTTCAAGGTGTTTACTCTTTTTTTTTTTTCTCAAATCGAGGGAAATAGGACTTGGAAGGCATAGGGGATTTTAAGAAATCGGTAATACACTTGTCACACCAGCCACCTGAGAGGGAAAGGGTTCTACAGAAACCATCTTGGAATTCAAATGTGACTGTCAAGTAATGTATTCATTCAACAGCTATTTTTTTAATGTTTATTTTTTGAGAGGGAGAGAAAAAGAGACCAAGCATGAGCAGAGGAGGGGCAGAGGGAGAGGGAGACACAGAATCCGAAGCAGGCTCCAGGCTCCAAGCTGTCAGCACAGAGCCTGATGCGGGGCTTGAACTCACAAACTTTGAGATCGTGACCTGAGCCAAAGTTGGATGCTCAACCCACTGAGCCACCCAGGTGGCCAACAGCTATTTTTTGAGGGCCAGATCAGAAAAAGGATGAGGTGTCCTTGGAAGCCACAGGTGGCCTTATGGTGTGCAGTTTTACAACCAGACTGGGAACTGCTTTCCAGAGGCCTAAGGAATTCGTCTGATTTTCCCTTAAGCTCCAACAAGCAGTGCTCATTTGGCACTGGGCTGAGTCATGTGGCCCACGCATACACAAACTGAGGTTTGCTGGGGAGAGGCCTCTGAATTTGGAGCTGCCGGGTCAGTTCCAGGGTGTTTTTGCTCTGAGCTCTAGACTCTGACAGCCTAAGAATGGACTACTATACCAATCAGCAGATTTTCTTGGCGAGCTCGTATTATTTCAGAAGGGAGAGGATTGTTGCCCGAGGAACCGAGTGAGCCTGTTTGCAGTGGGGAACAACTGTGTCCTCCTCAGGCCCCTGTGCCTCTGTCCACTGCACCCCCGCTTCCTCAGGGGCACCCCTCTTTCCTACATCCCAGACTCTCAGGAACCCTTTCTCAGAGTGTGCAGCCATGCACTCATCTGCCCGACCTTGAGAGAGCCCACCCTGTGGCAGCTTCCTGGAGGTTGGTTGAGATGTATTCCTAGCGTGTATCTCTAAGCAAAGATGGGCGATGGCAGGCAGCCAGTCCAGAACTTCAGATTTGATATGTTCTTTCTTTATCCCCTCATCCAACAAACACTGATCAAGAATCCCGCCTTGTGTCGGCGTAGTCTAGATAGGGTGAATAAGGGTTGTTTGTGGACTTAAAATCTACAGAAGACAGACAAATAGGACAGCCTGCAAAAGCACAAAATGGAAAAGAGCTGGCCGGGTCAGATCACGATAAACTCCCCTGTGGCCAGAGCGTAGGCTAGATAAGGATCAAGGTGAGCCCAGTCCCTAGGCTGTTACTGTAAGCGGAACCTGTAGAGTAGATCTTGTAGCAGTGGGAGACCATGACTCTTAAAAAGATTTTCTAGGGGCGCCTGGGTGGCGCAGTCGGTTAAGCGTCCGACTTCAGCCAGGTCACGATCTCGCGGTCCGTGAGTTCGAGCCCCGCGTCAGGCTCTGGGCTGATGGCTCGGAGCCTGGAGCCTGTTTCCCATTCTGTGTCTCCCTCTCTCTCTGCCCCTCCCCCATTCATGCTCTGTCTCTCTCTGTCCCAAAAATAAATAAACGTTGAAAAAAAAAAATTAAAAAAAAAAAAAAAAGATTTTCTAATGTTTATTTATGTTTTGAGAGAGAGAGCTCAAGGGGGGCGGGGCGGAGAGAGGGGGACAGAGGATCCAAAGCAGGCTCTGTGCTGACAGCAGACCTGGGGCTCGAACCCACGAACTTCGAGATCATGACCTGAGCCCAAGTAGGATGCTCAGCCGACAGAACCACCCAGGTGCCCCCACAGTGAACATTTTAAATGGGAAATCAATATATTAAGGTAGCCCAACCATGAGATCTTCTGTGAGGGAACTGAGTACGGTGTTGCTGCCTTCCTGCAGCCTGTTCCAGTAGGGTGGGGATCAGGTCTCCAGTCCCGGGTGTCCCGCCTGGAGCCACCTTGCCTCTCTGACCCCCGTCGGCAAAACAGAAATAGAACACTCGCCTTACCTTACGGGCTTGTTTGAGAAACCAGTAAGGGGATGAAAGTGAAAGAGCTTTGAAAAATAAAATTTTTAAAGCAATAAGGTGTGTAGGCAGTGGAGCCAACAACAGTATTGTCTTTAACATGGTGTCATTTCTCATTCCCACGTCCGTTCCACACTAAGTCAATTCTTTTAGCGAAAAGGGAAGGGGAGGGAGTGGCAGATCTGGCGTAGCAGGAAGTAAATAAATAACCTGCCACAGGACCGCAGCGCGGCAGGGCTTCCCCGTCCCAGGGGCCCCGAGAAGAGCTGGGGTGCTACAGGAAGCGGAGCTGCCTGGGTGTCACCCTGTCTGTGTCAGGGACCAGACAGATCTGCCCACAAACAACCGTCAGCACTGAGAGGGGCCCCCCGGAGGCACCCGGCTCAGGCTTTCCCCACGGAGGTGGGACACCGGCTGGCTCCCACCCTTTCGGGGACTGGGAGTGGTTTCCAGGTGACTCAGATGAATACAATGCAAAAAAATAAAATAGGGACAATTAGCATTACTCTAAGCAAGTGCCAGGCCCCCACATTGTGTTCTGACTTATCTCCGGATCAGAAAAGGAAATAAGAAAGGGCTTGGCTTTATTTGTCTCCGAACAAGAACATTTCTGTCCTTTTCTTTCTCTGTGAGAACAGTGGTTCCTGTGGCTTGACTTCAGGACTAAGTGGGATTAGCGCCAGCAATGAGGCTGCTGGTATTACCGACGAGACAGGGCAGGGTAGGCTAACCATGATGAGCTAGCTTTAGAGGCACATGGGTATTTTTATCCCAGCTCTATCTTCTTGAGCAAATCACTTAACCATTTGGGGACTAGTTTCTCTAGAAAATGGATATAATGGTACCTGCCTCAGGAAGATAAAATTAATCAACCTGTGCCAGGTGCTTAAAACAGTGCCTGGAAAAAATAAGCCCTTAATAAATGTAGCTACTGTGGTATTAGGAATAGTATTTGGTGTGTATTAGCTTGTCACCTCCTCTCATTGGCTATTTTCTTGGAACATTGCCACCTCCCATGTGTCCGGTGTTCGTGGTGATGCCCTCTACAGTTGGTGATTCTCAACCAAACTTGACTGCCTTATTCCTGTGTCTTCCTGCCCCTCTTGGTAACCAAAGACCCCCTGTTCTGCCCCACCCTGTCCCTGCTTCCCCATCTGTGCCTGGGCAGACCATCAGCCCTTTTCCCTTCCAGACACTTTGTCCTCGCAGCCTCTCCTGTGATGGAGACAGCTATTAATTCCAGAGTGCCGTGACGGCCCAAGGGTCTCCTGGAAAGGTGTGGGTTTGTGTCCCAGCTCCAGCACTGACTCCTGACCACCCCTGGACTCACTGTACTACTTTCCCGCAAATTATAGTGATACCCACTTTCCAGGGAAGGTAGAAATCTGAAAGGTAAAGTGCCCGGCATGTAGGAGGCACCTGGAGGGGATTAAGAGCATGGGCCGTGGAATTTGGACTAGTCACTGCCGCTCAAGTGACAGTGAGTAGGTCCCTTCACCTCTGTAGGTGTCAGCTTTCTCTGTCCACCGGGGATAATCGTACCCCCTACCTCCCAGGACCCTGGTGCGGGTTCTGTCAGGTGCACACTCAGCAAGCATTCAGCAAGTGCTCCCCATTATACTGTCAGCAGCCATGCTCTGCTCTGCAGGGACACCTGGCGCAGCAGGGGAGCAAGCGGGCTAGGTGCTCAGTGTCCCCTCTGACCTCTTCCCTGCAGGACTGTATGTACTGGTTGGAGCAGGGGCCCTGATGATGGCTGTGGGCTTCTTCGGATGCTGCGGAGCCATGCGGGAGTCGCAGTGTGTGCTCGGATCTGTAAGTGGGGCCTGTGGGAGGGGACTGGTCTGAAGGGCACTGGAGATTGGGCCTCCAGCGCCAGCTCCTCGGGCCCACTGAGACCTTGGCACTCGCTCCCTCCCCCTGAGTCTCCGTTTTCTCCATCTCTTGCTTAAGAATAATATTATCTTTGTCCCTGCCTCATATGGAAAATATGAAAAAAAAAATGAGGTCATTAGTGTGAAGATGTTTTGGAAGGAAAGGTGCCTAATAATTGTAGGGGGTAATTATGATTGTTCTTTCAAAAGTACTTCCCAGTGAGGCAGCTAAGATTCCTATAGCCAGGGAAGTGCTGTTATCTACAAGAAAAGAATTGCTGTTTGAGATCAATAAGTTAGCCAAACATCTCTCTTGTGGATTATTTTAACAAGCAGCCTCTGTCAAAAAAAAAAAAAAGAATGAATTTCAGTTACTGCTGTACACATCCAATGCCAGAGCGACCTAAGAGAAACGGGGAGAAGGAAGAGGGGTCAGAAGAGAGAAGGATTTCGTATTTCTCCATGAGGGGTCAGAAACAGCAATTTCAGAGGGCAGTCTCTCCTTACTCGTTGCAATCTTTGATTTTTAAACCGTGCCTGCTGCTTCTGATCTCTTGCTGTGTAAAATCTCTTAACTCATTTCCTCGGTCCTGCATTCTGCCTGTCTTTCCCCTGCTGCTGAGCATCTCTCTCATTTATCTCTTAACACAGAGCCGACCCAAGAGACCGGAACAGAAATCTGTCCGGGAGGCCATCCCTCACCACCACCCCCACTCCCCAGAGAAGCCCTCACAGGCCCCAGGCCCCACCAGTTGCTCCCTATCTCCTGGCCTTGTTTTAGATCTTCGTAGTATCTCTTTTGTTCAAGAATTCATTCGGCGCATAGGTGCCAGGCACTGTTCTGAATGGTGGGATTTCTTTATCAGTGTCTGAAATTATCCAACTCACCTTTTTTTAGTGCTTTACTCCTTTATCATATTTACCATTTTCCAAGATGAGGCCCATGATCACAGAGACGTTGGGATCTTACCTTATTCACCATTGAATACCCGGTGCCAAGGACAGTGCCTGGTGCAGAGTAGATGCTCAATAAACAATCACTGAATGAATCAATGAGCAAATGAATGCATAAACAAGCTCCAGGGGAGGGGGGGACAAATACTTCCTACTAGATCAATTCGAACGAATACTCTTGCCTCATGTTTTCCAAATGGAACTAGAATTAAAGAGGCCGAATACATTGAAAAGGTATTGAGTTAATGAAGTGAATGTTTTCTCTCCTCTATAGTTCTTCACCTGCCTACTGGTGATCTTTGCTGCTGAAGTAACCACTGGAGTATTTGCTTTTATAGGCAAGGGTGTAGTAAGTAGAAATTACATGCAATTTCTTTTTATGATGGTTAAAGGGTCTCTTTATGGCAAAGGATATGAGAATATTACACCCACAATGGTATTACAAAACTAAATAACCCCCACGTTTCAAATTGGCACAGAATGTCTTAACCTGGAAATATCGTGCAGACCTATGCGGGTGTATATACGTATGTGCACACATTTTTCTGAGGAGATAGTTCATAGCTTTCATTAGATTTATGAAAGGAGCTATGATTTTTTAAAGGATATTTATCTTAAGATTATCCTATTTGTAATGGGGAAAGGGGATAAATTGCATTCGTGAGAAAGAGGGATCAAGAGGAACATGCATTTTCATCCCTTGTTGGACTAATATTTGTCCATAGGGCTCGGCCTGGAAAGAGGCCACATCATCCTTGAAGACTAAAGCCTGACCTGCTGTGTGCTGGTGAAGCCAGTCTCTTTAGATTTGTGCTCAAACTATAGGTGTCCAAAATAGGTTATCAGAAGAACCCACAGAGGAAATGTCCTTTTAGAAGGTTAAAACACACTGTGGGAAAGAGGGGAGTGAAAAGGAGGAAGAATGGAGTCTTAAACGTACTGTATTTCATGTAAATTCGTGTGCTATCAATATTGTGTTTATGAACTTACTTTAGATGTAAAAAAAAATGGTGAACATGTAGAATAAGTAAATATCACCTCCTTTGGAATGTTTCTGAAGTAGCTGGCTATATTTGCAGGTTGGAGGAATTGGATCTAATGACTTTTTGAGATCTTTATGAATGTCAGATCACATGCCTTTATATCAGAAAAAGCATTCTCTACATTTTCTACGATATTTATATGCTGAAACAGCGTTCCTCAGTCATGAGCATCTTTCAAACCATGTAATGAATAGACTTGAATACTTTTAACCAGTGGGGTACCAAGAATGCCTAAGTCCCCACTCCCTGTATGTCAGAATCTCCTGGGGAGGCCCCAGAGTCTGGGGCTCGGTGGATGCTGATGTCCATTCAGGTTTGAGAACCTCCACTTAAAGAAATCTTTCTAGTCTATGAAAGTTATTCTTGGTTAGTCTGTCCTCCCATCTCCAGAAGTATCTACGAAACTCCAGAATCTATAATCTATTCCATAAATGCAGAATTGACTTAAAGTACAGATAAACACAGGGACAGGCTGTATTTTCCAAGGGTAAGGAAGAAGGGGTTTTCCTTGATGAAAGGAGAATGTTTGGAACTTCCCACAGTTTTCCTGGTATTTTTTCAGGCTATACGGCATGTTCAGACCATGTATGAAGAGGCTTATAATGATTACCTGAAAGACAGGGGAAAGGGAAATGGGACCCTCATTACCTTCCACTCAACAGTAAGTAACTTTGCTTCTTCTTTAACATCATATCTTCTGAAGACCATGCGTTAGTCAGGACCTCTGTCTTCACTTGGCTTAAAGATCAGAATAACTTTGGTGAAGCCATGCCGCAGCTGTATTTCAGCCCTCACAGGAGCCGCCATTGGCATTACGCGTAGAACCTAGAAGAGGAAGGGGCCTACCTGGCACCCAGCGTTCACCAGAGGAAGTCAGGGCATGTGCCCTGGAGAGACAAAAGAGCACAAAGAAGAGTGCCCAGAAAGCAGCCCAAATCAGTTCCAAGCTGTCTCGGAAGGTGGCATGGTGGTGTAATAGAAGCGACCATGACCTTCAAGTCAGGAAAGCTCTTTCTAGCTGCAGCTCTGCCACCGAGCCTCTTTGCGACTTGAGCCACTTCCTTGCCTCCCTGATAATCACTCAGCTCCCCCATTTGTAACACAAAAGGGCACGGAGACAGCTATGCTCCCTTTATCCTAGAACGTTCTGTGGGACTGTGCCGTCAGTGCAGTGCTGAGGGCTGCACACAGCTAACCAACAAGGGCTTATGGATGATGGGCCAGGTCAGAGTCATCCTGATTTATTAACCACTGCCGTATGGAGAAGTATCTCTGAACCCCTGGGCCAATTGCTTCCGGGTAGCCCCATTCCTGTTTGTCACAGGAAATGGTTGGAAGGTGCCAACCATTTATCCTGTTCAGCCTCAGCTGCCCCAGGGACATCAAGCAACACACAGTCTCCTTTGTCTTTGAAGAGCCAGCCCTAAGGCAGGACACCTATTTGTTGGCCTGACTTCATGCCCTGGCCTTTCAGCCCCTGGGGTTTATTTACTGTGGCCACTTCTCCTCTCTGTCCCAGACTGTCCCCAGTTAATGAGCCCTTCCTGAAGCTCATAAAACTTGAGCTACTCAGCGGGGTAAGTTACTCCCAGGCTGAAATAAAGAATCTAAGGACCCAATTCCTGTCTAAAAAACAGCAATTTACACAAGACACTGTCATTGGCTTCTTGCTTTGTTTGGATTGCCTTGAGTCACTTCCCAGTAAAACTCAGACAACTTTACCGAAGTTCTCTTCTTGTTTTGCTAGCATGGTTATGTGACTCTTCACTATCTTCCTAGAAATGGCAGTTTGGGTTGCAGAGGTTGGCCCCATAGCTGCTTTGCTGCCTCAGTGCCCCAGTCCTCCGCCGTGATGCCCAGACTTATAGCTCCCACTCCTCCTTCCTGTGCCCTAAAAGCTGTTCTCTGACTCTCTAGTTTCAGTGCTGTGGAAAAGAAAGCTCTGAACAGGTCCAACCCACATGCCCAAAGGAACTTCTAGGGCACAAGGTAAGCTTCTCTACTAGGGTTCCCATCCTATCTATACTGTAAGATGGCTCTTGCCCTTGGGTATGATTCTAGAAGGCCATCTCCCAGTGGCTTCTGAGCCTCAGCTTTATTCTATGTAAAATACATGAAGCAATGCTGAGTCCTGGTCTCCCGGTCCCCTGGGAAATGATGGTAAGCTGACCTGCCCATAATGGTGCAAATGCCATGGCATTAATTAAACTCACCAGGGCCAGAGGTGTGCACCCTGAGAACGTTGCCCCACCCACCTCTCCCTGGAAGTCACTGATGAATGCTTCATTTAGCAAGTGAAGGTGCCAAGTTCTGAAAACCTGTGCCGGGTTTTATGCCAGGTTCTGAAAACTCTGAGATGAAACATGGCTCCTGCCTCAGTGGCCTTGTAGACTAGTCAAGGGAGATGGTGTATGCCCGAAGCCTGTAAAGAATACAATGTAGACACAGAAAGCTTCACAGAAGTTGAGATCCTTGAGCTGCATTTTGACAAAGGAAGGTCATTCTGGGCCCATGAAGCAGCAGGAACAGAGGCATGGCAGTAGGGAAGTCCAGGACTGCAGGACAGTAGGGAGTCCAGAGGGGATGGTGAGGGACATTCTTGGGCAAGGCAGACAAAGGCGTGATTTTACACCTGGAAGTTTGGGAAAGGTGTTGCTTTTAGCAGAGGATTATCATGGTCCGTTTTGCATTGTAGAAACAGTACTCAGGCTGCTGGGTGTGACAGGTAGAATAGAAGGTTGGGGAGTGTTGGAGGGAGGCCACGTAGGTGCCACTTGTGGTCACCTTGGTAAGAGAGGATGAGGAGCTAATGCAAGTCATGAGCAGTAGGGATGGAGAGGAGGCAGCCGATTCAGAGATGTTCGGAGGGTAGAATCAACAGGCCTGGCCAATCTCTTGTGTGTGAGTGGGGAGTGGGAGGAGGAAGCTAAGACCTCAGACTTCTGCTTGAGCAGAATGGGTGGATGGAGACTCTGCTCCCCGTGAGAGGTGCATGGAGGGAAAAGAGCACATTCCGGGGAAGTTTTGGCCAAGTTTGCACTTCAGGTGCCTGTGGGACTTACATGTAATCTGAGCTGAAGACGGGTGTAGGAATCCCAGCATAGTGGTGGTAGCTGAAGCCGTAGGAGTGGCCTCACCCAGGGAGAGTGTGTGGAATAAGGCAGAGGTGGGCTGAAAACCCTGTCATTTAAGGGTAAGCAAAGGACAAGAAGCCAGAAGAAGACTGTGAAGGAGGAGTCGAGCTGGAGAGAGTCCAAAGACAGTGGCGCCTGGGAAGCGAGGGAGGAGATGGTTGGTCCATAAAGTTCAATGCTGGGAAGAAGACAAGGCAATGAAGGCTGGAAATAATGTGTTGGATTTGGTCTGAATCATTAATGATGTTTGCTCTGCAGTTTCAGCGAAGGGGGTGGGGGAAGCACAGATGCGATGTGGGACATTAGGGGAGAAATATGAGAATATGGGGACAATGACATGGATGCTTCTAAGCATGCAGCTGTGAGGAGACTGATGAGATCTTAGCTCCAGCCTGTGTCCTGAGTCCTCCATTGGACACTTAGTGACTCCCTTTGAGTTGGAGGACATGAACAAGGCACAGCCACTGCCCTCAAAGTGCTCAGCGGCTGCCGGAGAGACCCGCAGGGGAGCCGGCACCACCACTCGGTAGTACAAGAGTGAGGCTGCGTGAGAGAGGCATGCGATTGAAGGGTTGCGGGAGACCCTCCTGACGTGTGATTCTTTTTTGTTGGTGTTCAGGTATCATTAACGTAACAGTCTTCACTTAGTTTCAAGTGTACAATATAATGATTCAACAATTCTGTGCATTACTCGGTGCTCGTCACAGGTGTACCTCTTGGGGCACCTGGGTGGTTTAGTCGGTTAAGCGTCCAACTTAAGCTCAGGTCATGATTTTGCGGTTCGTGGGTTCGAGCCCCGTGTCGGGCTCTGTGCTGACAACTTAGAGCCTAGAACCTGCTTCGGATTCTGTGTCTCCCTCTTTCTCTCTGTCCTTTCCCTGCCCATGCTCGCTCTTTTCTCCCACTCTTTCTCCCTCTCTTAAAAATAAATTTAAAACATTTAAAAAAAATTCTAGGGGCACCTGGGTGGTTCAGTCAGTTAAGCATCAGGCGCTCTTTGGTGTTTTCGACAGCCTCAGGCTTGATCTCAGCTTGTTTAGAGTAGTTAGAACCCCACCCTGCTGGCTCCCACTGACAGCAGTGTGAGCCTGGGGACTTCTGATCTCTCTCCCTCTCTATCTGCCCCTCCCCTAGGTGTGCTGTCTCTCTCTTAAAATAAATAAATAAACTGGAAACGCTTGGGTGGTAGCAAGTCTCCATTGGCGTCGACTTCAGAAGGTCCACGACTCAGTGTCCCGTGAGTTCAGGCTCCAGCTAGGGCTCTGGGCTAATGCATACGAGAGCCTGGTTAGCTGTTCGATTCTGTGTCTTCTCTCTCTGCCCCTCCCTGTCATCCTGTTTCTCTGTCCCAAAAATAAATAAACGTTGAAAAAAAAAAAATTAAAAAAATAAATAAATAAATAAATAAATATATAAACTTAAAAGTTAGTTTTTAAAAATTTCAACAAGTGTACATCTTAATCCCTGTTATCTATTTCACCCATCTCCCTACCCACCTCCCCTCTGGCAACCACCAGTTTGTTCTCTGTATTTAAGAGTCTGGTTTTTGTCTTTTTGTTGTTGTTGTTGCTTGCTCATCTGCTTTGTTTCTTAAATTCCATACATGAGTGAAAGCGTATGGTATTTGTCTTTCTCTGACTGTGTTTCTCTTTTTCACTTAGGATTATACCCTCTAGGTCCATCCATGTTGTTGCAGATGGCAAGATTTCATTCTTTTTTATGGCCAAGTAATATTCCATTGTGTATCTATACCACATCTTCTGTATCCATTCATCTGTCAGTGGACACTTGGGCTCCTTCTATATCTTGGCTATTGTAGGTAATACTGCAATAAACATAGAGGTGCATATATCTTCTTGAATTAGTTTTCCTTGGGTAAATATCCAATAGTGGAATTACTGGATTATAGGGTAATACTTCATATTGTTTCCACAGTGGCTGCACCAACTTACATTCCCACCAACAGTGCGTGAGCGTTCTCTTTCTCCACGTCCTCATCAGCATTTGTTTCTCGTGTTTTTGATTTTAGCCATTCTGACAGATGTAAGATGATATTTCATTGTGGTTTTGATTTGCATCTCCCTGATGATGAGTGATGTTCAGTTCTTGCATGTCTTCTTTGGAGAAATGTCTATTCAAGTCCTCTGCCCATTTTTTAATTGGATTATTTGGGGTTTTTTGGTGTTGAGTTCTCCAAGTTCTTTATATAGTTGAGGTATTAACCCTTTATCAACTATGTCATTTATAAATATCTCCTCCCATTTGGTAAGTTGCCTTTTCGTTCTGTGATTGTTTTCTTTGCTGTGCAGAAGCTTTTTATTTTGATGTAGTCTCCATACTTTAATTTTGCTTTTATTTCCCTTGCCAGAGGAGAAATATCTGGAAAAATGTTTCTATAGTCAATGTCAAACAGATTCCTGCCGTGTTTTCTTCTTGGAATTTTATTTTTCAGGTCTCACTAAGTCTTTAATCCATTTTGAGTTTATTTTTGTGTGCGGTGTAAGAAAGTGGCCCCATTCCATTCTTTTGAAAATGTAGCTGTCCAGTTTTCCCAGCACTGTTTGTTGAAGAGATGTCTTTTTTCCATTTTGTATCCTTGCCTCCTTTGTCATAGATTAGTTGACCATAAAAGCGTGGGTTTATTTTTGGATTCTATTCCGTTCCATTGATCTGTGTGTCTGTTATTGTGCCAGTACCATACTGTTTTGATTCCTACAGCTTTGGAGCATATCTTAAAATCTGGGATTCTTTCTTCAAATCGCTTAGGCTACTTAGGGTCTTTTGTGGTTACAAATTCCAGGATTATTTGTTCTAGTTCTGTGACAAATACTGTTGGTATTTTGATAGGGATTGTATTAAATCTGTAGATTGCTTTGGAGAGTATAGACATTTTAGCAATATTTGTTCTTCCAATCCATGAGTATGGAGTATCTTTTCATTTGTTTGTCATCTTGTATTTATTTCATTGGTGTTATATAGTTTTTGGAATATAGATTTTTCACCTCCTTGGTTAAGTTTATTCCCAAGTATTTTATTATGGGTGCAATTGTAAATGGGATTCTTTTAATTTATCCTTCTGTTACTTCATTATTAGTGTGTATAAATGCAACAGATTTCTATATATTGACTTTGTATCCTGCAACCTTACTGAATTCATTTATCCGTTCTGGTAGTTTTCCAGTGGAGCCTTCAGGGTTTTCTGTGTATGGTATTGCGTCATCTGTAAATAGTGAAAGTTTTACTTCTTCCTGACAAATTCAGATGCCTTTATATATTTTTGTCTTCTAATTGCTGTGGCTAAGACTTCCAGTACTATGTTGAATAAAAGTGGTGAGAGTAGGTAAAAAAGAAAACAATGGTAGGAGTGGATATCCTTATCTCGTTCCTGATCTCAGAGGAAAAGCTCTCAGTTTCACCATTGAGCATGATGTTAGCTGTGGAGTTTTCACATATGGACTTTATTATGTTGAGGTATGTTCCCTTTAAACCTACTTTGTTGAGGGTATTTATCATGAATGGATGTTGTACCTTGTCAAATGCTTTTTCTGCATCTATTGAGGTGATCATATGGTTTTTATCCTTTCTCTTACTGATGTGATGTATCACATTGATTGATTTGCAAATATTGAACCACTCTTGCATGACAAGAATAAATCAATCCCACTTGATCGTAGTGAATGATTTTTTTAATGTATTGTTGGATTTTGTTGCTAGTATTTTGTTGAGGATTTTTGCATCTTTGTTCAACAGAAACATTGACCTGTAGTTCTTTTATTTTGTAGTGTCTTTGTCTGGATTTGGTATCAGGGTAATGCTAGCCTTATAGAATGAATCTGGAAGCTTTCCTTCCTCTCC